TCGTTGGGTAGAGGGGTCTTGGTAAACTGAATAACTTTCTTGTCTCCGACAATGGGAAACCAAGCTGGCAATAATTAGAGAAGCTTTGTCAACACCCGAAGCTTGGTATCAGTGCGAGAGTACAGAAAACTTTAAACCCAATAAGAAGCAACAATCCATGAATGACATGCACCACAGTAGGAGATGAGCAATCAATCCATGAATTGACATGCACCTACGGAGAATATTACACGTGTTGACGAGGAGTCACAATAACGTGGTTGAAATATGTTGACCAGACCAAACATTAGAAAGTGAAGGGACGACGACGTTTCGGTCCGTCCTGGACCATTCTCAAGTCGATTGTGGATGATAAAGGTGATAAAGGCGGAAGTGTGTAATGTTGAGCTATATCGCAACACAACTTACCGTATGGGCCACAACATTTGTATTCAATCACCTTCCCTGGAAACACAAACCGTAACTGTCTCTATTTTCCGCTTGTTACAACTTGCTATATTGGTTGTTATAACTGGTTAGGTGTTAAAACTTGTTCGAACGTTGTACCAACGTCGTAGTTTCGGTGTGTGTTTGGCGGGTTGATGCCTGGGAATACTTACAGCCAGCTGATCCTCCTGTTCAAATAGTATAGTACTTATAGTAACTGTGTGGACCATCGTACATATATTGACATAATGGCCAATTAGAAAGTAGAATTTGTTATTATTGAATTTGAACAAACCGTAAAAGGTTTTATATTTATGTTGATAATAAACCTAACCTAACTTACCCTAACCATCCGAGGCCTAATACAGTACATATATGTGCGGTATTAGGCCTAGGAATATGTAAGTTTGGCTCTTAGCTTTATTTTTCCGGAGTCAATAAAGTGAATAGTACCAAATTCTACTATCTAATAGTCCATTACGTCAATATGTACGATGGTTAACTTCTTCTTGAGGTTATCTTGAGATGATTTCGGGGCTTTAGTGTCCCCGCGGCCCGGTCCTCGACCAGGCCTCCACCCCCAGGAAGCAGCCCGTGACAGCTGACTAACACCCAGGTACCTATTTTACTGCTAGGTAACAGGGGCATAGGGGAACGGGCCGCGGGGACACTAAAAAAAAAATAAGCCCTGAAATCATCTCAAGATAACCTCAAGATAGGGCGCCTGACAGCTGAGTGGACAGTGCTTCGGATTCGTAGTCCTGAGGTTCCGGGTTCGATCCCCGGTGGAGGTGGAGACAAATGGGCAAAATGTTTCTTTCACCTTGATGCCCCCTGTTACCTAGCAGTAAATAGGTACCTGGGAGTTAGACAGCTGCTACGGGCTGCTTCCTAGGGGGGGGTAACAAAAAGGAGGCCTGGTCGAGAACTGGGCCGCGGGGACGCTAAGCCACGAAATCATCTCAAGATAACCTCAAGATAGAATTGTTAAGATAAGTGAGGTTAGGTTAGATCCTGTATGTTGTGGTTAAAAAAAAAAAAAGGTGTCCCATTTGGGGACACCTTTTTTTTTGGCCAAAAGCTGGACAGCCCCATTTGGACATTTGGCCAAAAGCTGGACAGCCCCATTTGGACATTTGGCCAAAAGCTGGACAGCCCCATTTGGACATTTGGCCAAATTTAGTAATACAAAACGTCAACATTTTGGTGGTCCATCACTACATGTTGGTACTTTCGACCAGATAGTTACTATAAGTACTACCGTGTTAGGAAGATGAGCTGCAGTTTGGGTAACTAACCAAGGAAAGATTCAATTAGAACTTTTTGTTTTATATTTGCAAAATGATTTAAGAGAATAGCTTCATGGTGTGAAAATTGTCATAACTGTAACCCTTCGGCGGCATTTTGTTACAATACTATTTATTTATTCACAAATGTACAATATTTTATATTTATAGTTGTTATCAAACATGAGCTTACACAACATTATTTTAAATATAAATACATATATATTATACACACGATCTTTATAGCTGTTATGTCATCCTATTCTTACCTTGTGATGATTTCGAGGCTTAGCGTCCCCGCGGCCTGGTCCTCGACCAGGCCTCCTCGCTGCTGGACTGGTCAACCAGGCTGTTGGACGCGGCTGCTCGCAGCCTGAAGTATGAACCACAGCCTGGTTGATCAGGTATCCTTTGGAGGTGCTTATCCAGTTCTCTCTTGAACACTGTGAGGGGTCGGCCAGTTATGCCCCTTATGTTTAGTGGAAGCGTGTTGAACAGTCTCGGGCTTCTGATGTTGATAGAGTTCTCTCTCAGAGTACCAGTTGCACCTCTGCTATTCAACGGGGTATTCTGCACATCCTGCCATGCCTCCTGGTCTCATGTGATTTTATTTCTGTGCAGGTTTGGGACCAGTCCCTCTATTATTTTCCACGTGTAAATTATTATGTATCTCTCCCGCCTGCGCACAAGGGAGTACAGATTTAGGCATTTTAGTCGGTCCCAGTAATTTAGATGTTTTACTGAGTGGATTCTAGCAGTAAAGGATCTCTGCACGCTCTCCAGGTCAACAATTTCTCCAGCTTTGAAAGGGGCTGTCATTGTGCAGCAGTACTCCACTCTTAAGAGCATTCTTATTCTTGAGCACAATAATGACGAATCATTCACAAGAAATGCTTATAAATCTGAAACAGTCCATATTACATTATGAGGACTGTAATATGTAATATGCACTGTAATTCTGAGGTTTGATCAACACGTATCTCAAACACATTGATTTCCAAAGTAGCAAATTAAGAAGGCACAAGAAGTGAACTCAAACTGTAATATTACAAACAAATACAAACTCACAAAACAAATTCAAAGCATTAACAACACACCACAACTGTTACCATCACTAACACAAAACCTATAGAGTACCGCCACACGGAAAACAAGCCCAAACTATTTAGCATACAAAACCTACACAACTCACAGAAACAGAAATCAAGTGATTCTCTCATTACATAATGCCAAATGCACAGTCCAGTACATAAGAGCAACACCTGTTACAGTACATAAGAGCAACACCTGTTATAGTACATAAGAGCAACACCTGTTATAGTACATAACTGCAACACCTGTTACAGTACATAAGAGCAACACCTGTTACAGTACATAAGAGCAACACCTGTTACAGTACATAAGAGCAACACCTGTTACAGTACATAAGAGCAACACCTGTTACAGTACATAAGAGCAACACCTGTTACAGTACATAAGAGCAACACCTGTTACAGTACATAAGAGCAACACCTGTTACAGTACATAAGAGCAACACCTGTTATAGTACATAAGAGCAACACCTGTTATAGTACATAACTGCAACACCTGTTACAGTACATAACTGCAACACCTGTTACAGTACATAACTGCAACACCTGTTACAGTACATAACTGCAACATCTGTTACAATACACAATTTAAACATTCAAAGGAACAATAAAATAAATGTATAAAAGTAAACAAAAAGAACAAATTACATTCATAATGATAAAAAACAGTCAAATTCAAAACACAAAAGTATCCTGAGAGAGAAAATTCCTCTCGGCCGGGAATATTCAAGTCTGAAACAATAGTCTCGAGGGACTCGCGGCTCAGTGGACGACGCTTGGAGGTCGTAGTCTTAAGGGCCCGTGTTCCATACCCGGCCGAGGCAGAAACAAATAGGTAGTTTCTTTCACTCTGATGCTCCTGTTTACCTAGCAGTAAATAGGTAGCTGGGAGTTAGACAGCTGCTACGGGCTGCTTCCTAGGGGTGTGTGTGGGTTAGAGAGAAATATATGCAGTAAACATAATTGAGGGAAAAATAGATTGATTAGGAGGGCGGGGTCCAAGAGCTAATACCTCGATTCTTCAGGCATAAATAGTAAATATATGTTGACCATAATTAAGAACTTTTACTGTTCCGCCACCGAGGATAACTTAATAAATAATGAACCGTGAAAATAAGCGTATCTTGAGATGATTTCGGGGCTTTTTAGTGTCCCCGCGGCCCGGTCCTCGACCAGGCTGTACCTGTACAGCGTTGCTGTACTTTTGATGTATAGGAGAAACTTTGCTACCACCTCAACCACCCCCCTACCTTACACCATCATCTCACCCCCCAGTACCCTCACCACCCACAACACGCTAAGCACCACCCAACACACCACCCACAACACGCTAAGCCCTCACACACTAAACCCCCACACCCAACACACTAAGCCCTCACCACCCACAACACACTAAGCCCTCACCACCCACAACACACTAAGCCCTCACCACCCACAACACGCTAAGCCCTCACCACCCACAACACACTAAGCCCTCACCACCCACACCCAACACACTAAGCCCTCACCACCCACAACACGCTAAGCCCTCACCACCCACATGCTCACTAAAACGTCGCATTTTTTAACGGAAATTACCAATTTGCTGAACATGCGACGTATTAGTAAAGTTAATAATAATAGTATTTGTATTTACAAAATATATATATTAGAACACAATAAAGTGGTATGGATAGTTGTTACACAAAAAGCATATTTGTAAAGCCAACAGCACTGTATTGTTGACGTACTCTATTTATGGGCCTCAATGGTTTCGGTAGGTTGCTTGGGTGCGTACGCTTTTGGTTAAGCCTCCCCCCCCCCCCCAAAAAAAAAAAACATTTTTTACGGTGGCACGTGGAGAGAACGGGCCGCATCGCAACACAAATCATCTCATTACCACCCACCATCCCCAAACAATACCCAAATACCCCTCCCCCAGTCTTGGCTTCCTCCTGCCTCGCATCCCCACCCACCTACCATTGCCATCTCTCTCCACACCTACGCATCTCGACCTACTGTACACCTACACCTCAACCGGGTCTACCTACTGTACACCTACACCTCAACCGGGTCTACCTACTCACACCCAACAACCACACTACCTACCCCCACACTCATCACTTGACTTACACTCTCCCACACTTATTCTATCTATTTATATTACTGATTATAAATAAATGCTAAACGTGACCCCTCTTGTACTTGTGTGTTACAGCGTGGACCGGGCCCAGGCGTTCACGTTCCAGCTGGGCGTGGGCCAGGTGATCAAGGGGTGGGACCAGGGCCTGGAGGACATGTGTGCTGGAGACAAACGTCGCCTCACCATCCCCCCCGAGCTGGGATACGGCTCCCGCGGCGCTGGTGAAGTCATTCCTCCAGGTATGTACCCACCACAAGCTTTCCAGTTTTCTTCCGTCTTCAATAAATAAAGGCAACCAAACTGCAGACTGCTCCTACCTTCTAAACAAAAATGTAGTTTTCTTGGCCAAACCTCCACCATACACTGGCTATTCCTACTATACATTCGTTTTTCGATGTTCCAACCTTTCCCGTGAACCATGCATACCCTCTCACTTCTATCCGCATTGTGTTCCTTTTCAAGTAAGTAATTATCAGAAGAATGCGCCAAGCCAGGGAAACTATGTAGCATCATCAAAGTTGCCGGATATTCAAAAGGCGCTAAATATCACTAAGGATGCCAATACGAGAACAAAAGTGCATAAGGCGACCGATATCAGAGGTATCTTGGTTCACCACGGATTCTATCGAGGGACGAGTGATCGCGAGGGACAGTTGAAACTCTCACAAGTCAAGCCTGGCCTCGGGCCGGGCATGGGGAGTAGAAGAACTCCCAGAACCCCATCAACCAGGTATCAACCAGTCGGGAAGCAAAACATATGAACGTTCTGGAAGTTGGGACATTCAACAAGGCACGACCGTAAGACTCATTGTCCAATGCAGTTTGGACAATAAGGAGTAGGGGGGTGCTCTATTAAGCGCCAGTGAGTTAAGCCTTTTTCAAGTTGATCTTTAAACATCATAATTTATGTAAACTTCATGGAGGATACCTTAGAAAAGAAATTTCACTCCATTATTTTCACTGGCCCTCATCCTGAGGTTTCACAAAGATTGCCACTTTGCTTCAGAGACCCCATTCAATTCAAATCCTTATGTCTCGCTCTTCTAGACAAGACATTTCTCCTACACATGTATTACCTTCACGATAGAACTCTTTTTTTTCAGAAACGAAACTTTATAAATCTGCTGGTGAAAGATGAGTGACGTAGAACACAAGGAAAAAGATGGACGAGCGTGTATAGTAGATATCACATACACTCACACAACCCCTGGCATATACAATTAGATGAATAACAAATATACAATTGATAAACCCTTGCATACACACCTAGGTCAACAGTAGATATCATATTCAATTTCTGCATTCACAATATATAAACAGTAAGTATCACACACCCATAAACGCTATACATACACACACACCCCCAGGTGAGTAAATCACATCAATACAAATCCACAAGGGCCGTGACGAGGATTCGAACCTCGTCACGGCCCTTGTGGATTTGTTCACTGATACATCACGCTAGTGTGATTTCTGTGTGTACATCAATACACACCTAGGCGAGTGCACACATTCACACTGATATGCACAGTCACTTTACGATATTTTGTAAGCACTTAGTAAGGTCCTTACTATCAGGAGACAACGACAAGCCATTATGAATATATAGCACTTGAAACAATGTTGTTGTTGTTGTTTCAGATTTAGCTACTCAGAACGAAGTGTCCATGTAGCACGGGCTATGGTGAGCCCGTAAATTGAAACAATAATAAAGAACCATTCTCTAAGGCTTATCTTCATTGTGTGTCCGAATACTGTCCTACAATCTTCCTGTGTAAATCTTGCGGGAGAAACATTACTCCCGGGGCACTGATTTTGGCATCGGTCCGTTCTGTGGCGCGAAATATACCAGCAACTTAAATTATATTTATTTAAACTAGGATCTGTGTTTTTGAAGTCTTCTTTATCTCATTGTTAACAGTGTTAATTAATAAAGTTAACATAAAGCGTTGAAGACTACGTCAGTGAAGTTAGAAGCAACTACCCGCATGTAATTTTAATTGTAACAATCACTATAGGTCACATTACAATCCCTATTATCACATGTTCTTATACTTACTACAGTTAGTGTTTCAGGAAGTGATTGCTCCTTATCCTCTACAGATAGGTGTAATAACTATAATGCGGTGATGTTATCCACATGCCAAACGACTAAATATACACACGCCACCTGATTGTTTTGTAATTAAATCTGTCTGTCTGTGCCGGTTTCGCTTCATGCAGGTCGGCGTACAATCCCCGCCCGTCCAAGTGGTTGGGCGTCATTCCTTTCCCCCGTCCCATCCCAAATCCTTATCCTGGCCCCTTCCGAATGCTATATAGTCTAATGGCTTGGTGCTTTCCCCTGCCAGTTCCCTTCCCTTCCCCTCGACGCTATTTATTATTTCCATTTGCTGTCGTCGACGTCGTCCTCTTCCTTTAATAACACAGTCTTTAACTGTTCGAAAAGTAAGAAAGAAGTTAACTACATGTTAACATTGTCACGTTGTAACAGGGTTGTTGATTTGTGGAACCAATTACCGCATAACGTGGTGGAGGTCCCTCGATTGTTTCAAGCGTGGGTTGGACATGCATATGAGTAGGATTGGTTGGTTATAAATAGGAGCTGCCTCCTATGGGTCAATAGGCCTTCTGCAGTTACCTTTGTTCTTATGATTAACAGTATCGTGATGCGAACTTTTTAGTATTCATTTCTATTTGTTTACACCAGCCTCCGGGGGTCCAGAACACTTTTACAAGGCAACCTATTCATGCGTCTGAGGTAGCTACTGCAGTGGCGGAAAGGCCGTCTAGGAACCAGTCAAGTTTTACAGGTCTTAGAGAAAATCAGGAGAAAGTGAAAGTTGCCAGGGAGAACTTTCACAGCCAACTGGAGCAGTGTACTCATTTGTGACAGGTTAAAATTAACTGTACAGACTTTCATTTATACAATATCCGGAATGTACGCTGTCCGTCTTACCGTTTAGTTATTGGCAACTTTGTCACGTGACTCGGTGTCAACACACTATAAGAGTCACCGTAAGATTCGTACGTGGCGGCAAATTGCTTCACTTGCAAGAAACAGCTTCAGTCCCCACACCAGTCAGTAAAGACGTAGGCTCAACACATCTCTCTGATGTATTAGTAAAATCAAACAATACACTATCTTGGTAGGTCAAGGAATTCAGAGTAGCCTGTGCACTGTACTTATAACATTTTGAAACAATTGGCTGGTAGTAGTCTACCGGTCTGCTTGATTCCGGCTCCTGTCTATCCCGTGTGAAAGTTGCCAAGGCACGAAGTGCTTACGAGGGAATTTAGTAACCAACAGTAATAAGAGCAAGGAAAAAAAAGTATGTTACTGCAAAAAAGTGTTGTCCATATTCACCATATGGATACCACAGATTGGGGTTATGGTTATTATTGATTAAGGGGCCACGATGGCACAAATGCCGGATGTGTCCCGGCGTTCTTGCAGGATAAAACGCAATGCCTTGTGGATATATATATATATACACGCCTCTTTCAGTGGTAAACTGCTATACCCTGCAGGAGGTAAGCACTCAGACGTAAGCACGTTTGGTGACGCCCCTTTTCCTCCTGGGAAGGCAAGCGAGGGACCCCCCCCCCCCTCCCCCACACTTAGCACAGAAAGCCAACAGGAGACCCAATCGTGACTCAGCTACCCTAAACGATAATTTTTTATTTGAGTGTTGACGCCAACGGCGGCTAGTTTATTGAACACCACACTCATAGTCCCCGTGGCGTAGTGGCAAGAAGCTCGCCTGGCGTTTCGCAAGCGCTTTGTCCTGGGTTCGTATCCTGACCAGGGAGGATTTACTGGGCGTAAATCCTTAACTGAAGCTTCTTTTTAACCCAACAGTAAAATGGGTACTTGGTTGTTAAACGATTTGGCCGGGTCATATTCCGGGCATCATAGGATAAAGGACTTGCCCAAAACGCTACACGTTCTAGTGGCTGTACAAGAATGTAAGAACTCTTGTATATATATACAAATAAAAAATAATGATAGCTAATATCAAACTTCTTGCAATTGCAACTTCTATGAATTACAATGAGGCGTCCTGTGAACTCTGGACAGTGAAGCAAAGTTACGGCCTAACGGAAGAATCGCGATGTTACTCCTAAACTCTAGCATAACTGGGCAAAATCGTCTAGCAATGACCGGCAAAACAAGAGCTAGATGCCGACCACGTCCCGAGGACACACCAAGACGCGCCAATTCTTTGCCAAGCCGGCTCCAGACATCATCTTTCCGGCCGAAGATCAAACCGGGAAATTTAAAAATCTATCAACTGCCTTGTGATCCCAGGCAATGTAAGGGCGCCAGGCGTCATATTAATCTGGACTACTAAAGAGGAATGTCTGATGATAGCAACCAGATCCAATATTCACTATCCCGTGAATGTGTTCTGAACGGTTGGGGGAACTATCATGTGTTCCAGCAGTTCCTAAAGTGAGCAGAGTTGTGAAATTCAGTTATGATGTGATAAGGCACGAGTGTTGTTCTCTGTAGAAGCGAGGGTGAGCATCAACATTAAATATTAGAGTAAACTCGTCGGTTATGGTTACTACATGCAGTCAGTCGTCGACAATTTAATTTATATTGCATACGGCTAATTTACACTATAATATTATTATTAGGTTAGGTTATGCTGTTAATTTTTTATAATAGCATCCATAAAGATAAACAACTGAACATATTATATATTATATTTAGAACTGAATTATATTGCCTATCTAAAAAGAAACTTAAGTTTGTGTATCGCACGATGAACCTAACTCCATTATTGTGCGCCCCAAGACAAGGTATCCTACCTGTATGCCATATAACAATCACTGCTTGCCAGGGTGTGCATGGGCTGTGGCCAGCGCGGGGAGGGGCCCTTAAATAGCCTCTGTAGGCCTGGGCGGAAGCCCGCCAACCCAGAACAAATGAAATATGGAGGGCACAGCAGTTATAGAAGATTCAATCATCCTTCTCTAAAGAGAGAGCGTCGAGCCACCTTCATATATTAAGAGTCTTGGTCAGCCCGTCCTCCAAACAAATACCCCAAAAGTGGTTCCATGCACCCACCAAACTCCCCTGTTTATGAATGAAAATCGGTTTACACACAACCCGTCCTCGACTCAAGTCCATTACATCCAGCAGTCGACCCCCACAGACGCATTCATTAATTTTAACATGCTGTTCGTTAAAAATGGGATTTTTTTTCAAATATAAATTAACATTATAACA